TACACAGATGGGTCTGTGATTCACCATGTAAGAAGCTTTTGGGCTTTTACAGCTCAGGCTGGAGATAGAATTGTGAAGCAAGATTCTGGTGCTGTTGCCTCAACCACAAGTAGTCTGACTATGAAAGTCATGGCAGGTCAACTAAAAATTATGTAATATGCACTCACTGTAAGTATCACACAAAGCAACAAACTCCATAACTGCAACAAAAACCTCCAGGAATTTCGAGACAAACTGTACTTGTGAACCACCATCACCCCCCCCCCCCCCTTTCCACCACAGGCATGCCTGGTCGCACGCACACACAGATAACACACACATATATATATATGAATGCATGCGGGCTCACACACACACATCACACACAGAGTTTAAAATAAAATCATTGTGAGGAAAATGGCTTCTCTACTTTATAATAATAAATATCAAGTGAATATTATCTATATGCATTTTGCAAATACAAACGATAAAAGTAATTAGTTTCACAAACTTGCATTACAAAAAACATCACGTTTCAGATAAAAACATTTTCTGAACCATTTCAGAAACTAGCAGAAGTCAATCATGGGTATAATGCTACTTATTTTCATGGGTTTAATCTGTCATGTAACTAAACTTCTCAGAGACAGGATTGAATACAATTTGAACCACACTCTATAGTCAAAATATTGTTAATGCTTCTTTTTCTTACTCACTGGTCATAAACTCCTCTGTTTGGTCATCCAGTTCTAGACTTTGGTCCTGTTTTGGAACTTAAGTTTTGCATGCACGTCAGCATTACAGATCTTGCTCATTTGTATGCAGACTGTTGGTTCCTGACCTCTCAAAAAAGGGTGCACTCCAGCTTCAAAATAAACACACCTAATTAGTCTTCTCCTAAGACATGCTTGTTGGGGGAAGGAGAGGTCTATTCTTACCTGGTTAGTTGCCTATCCTTTACAGGACTTTGCAGAACCAACCCCAATAGCCCCTGGCTGTTGTGTGGTTTTTCTAGGCAAATTTACGTCCAGTAGTTTGCCATTGCTTCTAGTATCATATACCTAATGCGCCACAGGCATTAACTAACTCTCTCTAAATCTCTCACACTCACTCTCTCTCTCTCTCTCTCTCAAACTCACTCACTCACAAGGTCCATTATTTTTTACTTAACACGTGCCAAAACAGCTGTGCCCAGGAAATGTGACTTTAGGATCACAACACTGGGTACCTAATATTTTTCAGAACTGTCTCGGAAGAAATATTTGGCTTCTTCTGAATGTGAACTCAAAAAAGCGGTTGACATGTTGCATTGTGTTTTAAGCTAGACTGCAATATCTGCACCTTTCGGCCCAACACATCTGATTTCAGCAAGCCTTAACTAGTTGCCTTTTAAGACATGCTTGTTAAGGGGCACTGAATCGGTCCACCCCACCCCATCACCCCATATGGGTCCCCAGAACCCACATGAGGAGGGCGGAATATGGTAAGGAAGGTAACTGACCACCGCACCCATTATGTCAAGGCCTAATATGCACGAAGGCCTAATATTTCACACCCCAGTAGCAGTATGTCTTATTAGACTACATTTTCTGAACCTAAACTGTCAGGTCTAATTTATTTCATTGTTTGATTAGCCCCTCACTATTTCCATCTTCCTGCTTGTCAACATCCTTCTGAACATCCTCAGCCTGTACGTCTTCTTCTTCCCCATCGTCTGCATCCTCACATTCAATCACCACAGCCTTTCCTCCTACGAGTGTGATCCGCTGTTGACAAGGGGAGCAGTAAAATGGCTGTCGCTTGTCAGCATGTTTGGAGCAAGCTTGGTGCCACCATGTGCGGCAGTTCTCACACTGCAGCCAGTCAGCATTCCTAGCGGCCAACTGCTGGCATTCAGACCCTCCAAGGCACAAAACTGTGGTCTCACGATCCATGTCCCTCAAGGCCACAGCAACGTAGAGAAGGTAGTTGGGGATATGTGCCTTGGACATCACTACTGGTGCAACACCATTAATCAAAGCTTCGACATTCTGTGAAATAAATAAAGATTTTGATAATCTGGCAAATAAACAAGATAGTAATGTTATTATTGAAAAATATTTAAACTCCAAAACTACAACAGCCATTCCCCAATTTTATTATTCTACTGAGCATTCACCGGCTGTAAACAATGGCAAAAAGTTCTGGCTGTTCGTCAACTTTTCAACTTTAGTTTTGTTCCAGAACTTTAATTTTGCATGCACATCCGTTTCAAAGATCTGACTTACCTGTACGCTGACTTTGTTCCTTGTCTTTGGGGCAGATGCCCTCCAACTTCAGAGGAAAAATACTTCGTTAGTCACCTTTTACAACATACTTGTTGGGGGTGGAGGTGAGGGGGGGGGGGGGGGGGGGGTGGAGGGCAGTAAATCTATTCTTTTTTTCCCCTGAAAAGGGGCACTAGAACCTTCTAGGGAGCAATCTGTATCATACTCTCCTTATCCCTCCCCCCATCCCTGTCCTACACCGCCCTACATATGGGAAATGCAACCATAAATATATTTTTTCTCTCCTTATCTATAACAACTATTGGCTATCCTCCGACGGTCGGTAAAGATGGCAGCCGCAAAATATCCTTTCGGGCCACAGTCACGTGTCCATTGTGCACTAGCGGTCACGAGCACACCGCGGCTACTGCTCGTGGGTCCTAGCCATCTAGTTTAGCCCCATTCCACGCCGCAAATTAGACGTGACTGTGGCTCGAAAAGATATTTTGCGGCCGCCATCTTTACCGACCGTTAGTCGGAGGTTAGCCCAACTATTTTATAGGTTTTATCTTTAACTGTCATATTCATATTTTAAATTCATCGTGATGGTTTCTATCAGTTTTCTATGAACACATATTTGATGAATGTAAAACTATTACTGAAAAATCACTGCATAATTTTAAATATTGGGGGACAGGGGGGGGGGGGGGGGGGGGGGAGGGGGAGCTCTGTTTTTATTCTGGGCCTGGTGAAAAACTCTTCCACCCCGGAAACACTATAAAAAGTTTGGGTCATAAACATACATGAATTATTGAAAAACACAGGGTTTAATATATACATCATTGTTTTTTTTTTTTTTTTTTTTTAAATTGTCTATCTACATTTTTTTTAAATTAAACAGATATTCATATCTACAGGGAGTGATCAATAAACATGAACAGAATGTTGAATGCTGAAATAGGAATCAACATTACAGCACTCGTGACACCCCCATAAGCGCTCAATCCCCATCTTCAGCAGCAAACAAACAGTTCCAATTCTGATGGCACCAGTAACTGATTGTCAATCCTGCTCGCATTTCCCTTGAGTGTTGAGCATCGGCCAGAACCCCGGGCAACTCTTCGCAGCGCCATTCTCTTCAGAACAACATGAACAAAGTGAATAAATATATACAATACATTCCTTAGATCTTAAAAACCATATGTATTGGGTGCCTCATGCGCGACCCCGTGTTAGTGTTATAATTTTCTGCCTAACTTGTAGGCCCACTCACAGGTGGGCATCAACGCTATTAATCATCTCTCGTTGTGTCCTTGGATGTTATAAGAGTACAAGCCTTAATTCAGGTTAACATGTTACACATTTTAACTGAGGTTTACATGTTACAAACCTGCTTCAATTTCACACGTTACAAACCTTGATTCAAGTTCTCATGCCATAAGTTCTGGATGAGATTCACTTTGCTGAAAGCCACAGTTGAAGAATACGCTTCAAATCCTGGTTGTGGCTTGCATGTTACAAACCTTGACTGAGGAGGCTCACATGTTACAAACCTGCTTTAGATTCACATGTTACAAACCTTGATTCAGGTTCTCATGCCATAAATTCTGGTTGAGATTCACTTTGCTGAAAGCCACAGTTTTAGAATAAGCTTCAAATCCTGGTTGTGGTTCACACGTTACAATCCTTGGCTGAGGCTCACATGCTACAAACCTGCCTCAGATTCACATGTTACAAACCTTAATTCAAGTTCTTATGCCATAAGTTCTGGTTGAGATTCACTTTGCTGAAAGCCACAATTAAAGAATAAGCTTCAAATATTCTGGTTGTGGTTCACATGTTATAAACCTGCACTGAGGTTCACATGTTACAAACCTGCTTTAGATTCACATGTTACATATCTTGATTCAAGTTCTTATATCACATGTTCTCGTTGAGATTCACAATGCTGAAAGTCATAGTTATAGAATATGCTCCAAGTTCTGCTTGTGGTTCACATGTTAAAGAATTCGCCCTAAACAAGTCAACTGACAGCCAAGGTTAAATTCACATGTTACAAGCCCAGAATGAGGTTCATGTGTTACAAATCATGACTGTGGTTCACATGTTGAAACCCTTGGTTAAAGACCCCCCATGCTGCAAGCTCTGTTTGAGATTCACATGTTACAAGTCGAAAATGAGGCTGACATGGTTAAAACCATTAACTGAAGCTGACAAGCTGAAAACCCTAAATGAAGTTAAAAGGTTGAAAACCCTAACGGACATTTACACATTGAAAACCTTAACCGAAGTTCACATGTTGAAAATCCTAAATGAAGTTCACAGGTTGAAAACCCTAACTGATGTTCACATGCTGAAAACCCTAACTGAAGTTCACATGTTGAAAACCCTAACTTAGTTTCAGAGGTCAAAACTCCTAATAGAAATTCACATGTTGAAAACACTAAATCATGTTCACAGGTTCAAAAGAGGTTCATATGTTGAAAAGCTTTAACTGATGTTCACAGGTGCCTAAACCTCATTAAAGACCTTATGCTACAAGCCCTGTTTGAGGATCACATGTTAAACATAATACAACCACATTTTATTCATCTGAATTACCATGATAAGAAGAATGCCAGAATTAGGATCTTTCCCAGTTCTACTGCAGGCTATTTGTGCTGTAGTCCAGCTTGATAACATCTCCCCAGTGTGCACTGAACGGATCTGCATGTAACGTCTGAACAAGAATAACAAATGCATCACTGAAATGTGTCACAAACGGACTTCTCAGTGCACTGGTACACTTAATAAATTAATATACAAGAACTGATTAGCACTCATAGAAAGAAGCAGAGAGATAAGAGAACACACTAGACATCATAAAAATGCTGGAAACTAAACCTGTCCCCTATAAGTGGCAAAGGCACCTTGCTGTAGAAACAAGTGTACTAACATGTGTGGCCACTCCTCAGGGGTTCCCCGCCTGTTTATTCAGTACATGAGTGGAGTTGAGTCAAGAATAGTGACATCCCCGCATTCGAGGGCGTTCCCATGCATGCTCCGTCCTCATCTTCAGCAGCCAGTCAGAGTTCCAATACTGATGGTGCCGGTCAAAATCTGGTTATACGTCCGTCTTGCCTTTCCTCTGAGTGTAGTGAGCCGGCTAGACCCCCTGGTTACACCCAGGTGCCCCATTCTCTCCAGGCCAAAATAATCTTTTTTCTCTACTGATTCCATTGCTTGTTCCCAAAGGGCCTTTACCACATTTGCCTTGTCATGTTTATTCGGGACATTTAACCATGTATTAGAATCACCCATCTTCACCGTGTGAATTCAAATTCTGGTGGTAAACCAGTAGAGACCCACTGCCCCTTAACAAGCATGTTGTAAAAAAAGCGACTAATTTGGGTTGTGTCTGAAGCACATCTGCCTGAAAAATGAGGAACCAACAGTCTGCAGACAATTAAGCTAGATCTGTAAAATGGATGTGCATACAAAACTCAAGTTCTGAAACAAGACTAAAGTCCAGAAGTGGATAAACAATCATAACTTTCCGCTGCAGTTACAGCCAGTGAATGCAAAGAAGAAGAAGAAGAATCACCATCGCTCTAATAATCTATACCAGTTTTTCCCATCTGGTAGTCCGTGGAAAACATTTAAGGGGTCCATAATATCCTTTACACACACAAAAACAACCTTTTTATTCTGGAATGCAATTCTAATATTTATAAATTATAATAAGTTTTTCCGTAGGAAAAGCATGTCTTCTAATTGTTCTTCTTAGCACTCACCTGCTGTAAACTCTGGCAGAAAGTTCTGGTTGTTTCCTCCACCCCTGGACTTTGGTCTTGATCCAGAACTTGAGTTTTGCATGCACTTCTATTTTGCATATTTGACTATTTTTCAGGCAGACGCACTCTGACTTTGAATCACCTCCTACGACATGTTTGTTGGGAGAAAAAGCGGGCGAGGGGGCAGCAGTGGGTCCAAAATGAAGACCTGAAATCCACACGGGGAGTATGACAGCATACCACTGTGGCAGACCTTTGATAATAAGAAGGGTGTGCAGGTCTCAGCTAGCTAGGAACCTATGATCTTTACAATTTGTCACTGGTATGGTAGAGAAAAGTAAAATAACTAATTGTATGTTACAGTCACAGTATTATAGTGATTCATATAGCTGCCTGTTAAGAGAGTGGGAGCTACCGTGGAGTAGCAGCTACATGCAGATCTGAAGGTCATGGGTTCAAATCCACATGGAACTTGATTCCTTTCATGCATGATGTTGGCTCCCACGCTGACAGCCTTAAATGGGCATCAGGTAAAGTCCTGGAAAGTAAAGGTGGCTGGCATGATGTCGACTACCTCACCCTTCAAGGGCGGTTCGCTCTATAAAAATATAAGCTTATCCTCATATGCCCGATGCGACAGTGGCGCGAAAAAGATTCCTTACTTTTACTGCTATGACCGCGGCCATGGTTCGATCCTCAGAAGGAGAAGGATTATGGATTCTGGCTAAGTACAATTCTAGGGTTGACACAGTCTCATAAAAATATAGTAAAGCAAAAAGTACAGGACCCTTTTCCATGCCTTCAGGCGTATTGGGCATATAGGGCTAGACCTATATTTTATAGGCCAGTCAGCACTTGGTGTGTGATGTGGTCAGCATCACTCTGGCCATCTTTACTTCCCATGACTTTACTTGGTGCCCATTTGTGCAAGCAAACTCAAGTTCTGGAACAAGACCAAAGTCCACAAGTGGATGAACAACCAGAACTTTCTGCTGGAGTTTACAGCCGGTGAACACTGAAGTAGAAGAGGAGATACCCAATGCAAGACATACCTCCATTGCAACATATATCCATTGGCAGCAATGATGTACTTGTCTTCAGATCTGGGGTTGATAACTGCTACAGTTCTTTTCTTCACATCAGCAACAAGTGCCATCCAGCTAGGGGCCAGTATGTCACCAGATTTCCTCTCTGCCTCTGTGAACTCGCCCCCACATTGAATTGGAAGAACCAGGAACTCAAACGTCTTAAAGTGAACCTGCAATTGGGACATTTGAGGAAACAAAGAAATCGGGTTTACACAGCTGTTGTTCACAATGAAAAAAATGTAGTTATAATGTTAGCTCCCCCACCCCTTTCCTTTTTTCCTCTCCCCCCCTTCTCTCTCTCTCACTCTCTCTCTCTCGCTCACTCTCTCTTTCTCTCTTGCTCACTCTCTATCTCTCTCGCTCACTCTCTATCTCTCTCGCTCACTCTCTCTCTCTCTCGCTCACTCTCTCTGTCTCTCTCTCACTCACACTCTCTCTCTCGCTCACTCTCTCTCTCGCTCACTCTCTCTCTCGCTCACTCTCTCTCTCTCTCACCTCTCTCTCTCGCTCACTCTCTCTCTGTCTCTTTCTCTCTCTCTCTCTCACTCTCGCTCACTCTCTCTCTCTCTCGCTCACTCACTCTCTCTCTCTCTCTCTCTCACTCACTCTCTGCATGTGCATGGGGCCACGGGTAAATTTGCCTGTGAGTCAATGAAAGAGTAACAAAGAGAAATTAGGAACATATATTTTCTTTCTACTTTTCTGAAAGTGGAAGTACTGAGACCTGAAAAACTTGCCAGTGTTTTATAAAGATAGATAATTATATTAACCTAGTTATCTTTATAGTCCTCGCCACACAAAAGCTGCAGGCTGCACCAAACACACACAAAATACAGTAAAACATTGAATTAACTATGAGTTTCTGTTATTTGTCATTGTCTACATACAAAAAATGGTTAAGTATCAACAGACACCTTTAACACTGTCCAAGGAGTTTAGCTGAGCTGAGTCAAGAACTGACATCTCAGCACTTGAGGCATTCCCATGCATGCTCCGTCCTCATCTTCAGCAGCCAGAACAGAGTTCCAATACTAATGGTAATGGTCATAATCTGATTATATGTCCATCTTGCCTCTTCCCTTGAGTGTAGTGAGTCAGCCAGACCTTCCTGGTTACATCCAAGGATTACTTTTATAGCCTGCTGTATAAAGCTGGAAGTGACTGTACTGTATGATGGAAGAAGTGACTAATCGTCAGTAGCGGAGGAGTTGAGACTGATCTGGCATGCCACAACCCCATCACTAATCAGTCACTACATTACAGGGGGTTTAGCCTCACAGGCCCAGGGGGTAGTAAAGAAAGTAATAAAATCGGGGCATCATGCGTTCATTGGGCTTCTAGGTAGGAACCTATGAACATATGATGCGTTCCTTGGGACTCAAAGAGTTAACCTAAAGAGCAAGTGAAATAAACTCTTGCCTGAATCTATTGATGAAACTGAAGGAACTGTGACTGTTAGTTAAGGTTTAAAGGAATTATGTTACTATGCAATAATTAGGACTAAACAGGGAAAAATTTACATCAGAAGAAGTAACAGGTGGAATGTGACTAAATGGGTGGGTTTTTTTAAATGCTCTCAGTGAAACAAGAAACCAAATTACTGTCACAAGAATTTAGCACTCTAAGCAGTAAAGGTATAATAAACACATTACAAAGGAAAAGGAAGTAATACACACACAACAACTGTGATATGCAATACAATACAAAATACAGAAAAGAATGATCATAGCAATGCTGTATAGGTGTGAATGTTATGATTTAATATATTTGAAGTATTGTATAATGAGCTCGAATGACGAGTTCCTTTCCTCCCCATTATTTTTTTCTTAATCATTTTATCCTTACATGGACTACAGGTTACTTTGTAACCCCAGGGGTGCCCCAATATAACTTTGTTATACCGTTTAAAGGAGTCTTGCTCCTGTGACAACATATAAACTAGTCATCCCCTTGTGGGGTGCACTTTTTTATTATTTTGAAGCCCCACCCTGGCTCTTGCCAGGGGCCAGAACATAGCCCGGCCCTAAATATGGTCTAACGGCTGAACGCAGTTTCCGGGACCTCTCCACGGGTGATCCTCATCCACATGGTGGCACTTTGCATTGTCGGGTGTTTATAGCTTGTGTGATGTCCTAGTGGGGTTAAAATCTACTACTACTACTGCTTGCTCCTGTGAGATTCCAATTCTTGAGGCATTTATTCTACAGACAGCAATCCTGGAGGGGAACAACAACCACTACCACCATCAACATTCTTAACCATAAGATCATATACAGCAGTCAGATGTAAACATTGACAATCTAGGACCACAAGCTGATAATGAGAAGATCAATTCAAATAGGACAGTGGTAGATTCCTGTGGTGTGACTATAATGTGACAAAACAAAACACATCAGGCTAAATGCTTTAATACTGTGATTAAAAAGTGATGAACATTAAGAAGCACAATGTTTCAACAGCATGACTGCAATCTAATGAAGAAGAAAAAACAGCTTTAAAATGTACAGTTTTGTGTGAATGTGATGTAATAAACAAGTGAGACAGGGTATGTGAAATCAGTTATTAATCAGTTTATATTAACGTCACTCTGAACAGTCCATTGTTGTTTAGGCCCTATTAACCAACCCCCCCCCCCCCAATAATATATCAGCATCCCATGGTTAATATCGCTAGTCCTACACTGTCTGCCAAGAATTCTCCTATGTCTATTGTGCATCTTCTGCCTGTGCCCATCTTTGCTCCCAAATCTGCCAATATTATCAGCAATGTGGATTCACTGCACCCATAACTCTCTCTTTCTGATTGGCTTCTCTCTCTCTAAAAAAAATTAACAGTCAGCATGATCCATAGGTTGGCCA